AGGGAGAAAGATGTGGCAGTCTGCTTCCATAAAGATGAAACTCAAAACCAAACCCACCGCTGTCAAGCCAATTTTGACTTATAGTGACCCTACAGGACAAAGTAGAACTGCCCTATAGGGTTTCCAAGGCTGTAAATCTTTACAGAAGCAGACTGCCACATCTGTCTCTTGTGGAGCGGCTGGTGGGCTCAAACTGCCAACCTTTTGGTTAGCAGCCGAGTGCTTTAACCACTGTCTCATCAGGGCTCCCGGAAACCCTATAGGACAGTTCTACTCTGTCCTATAGGGTCACTATGAGTTGGAATCAACTCGATGGCAACAGGTTTGGTTTTCTGGTTTTTTTTAATGCAGAAGAAGCCCTGGTGGCACAATGTTTAAGACTTGACTGCTAACCAAAAGGTTGGCAGTTTGAATCCACCCAGCAACTCCTCAGGAAAAAAGACATGGCAATCTCCTTCCATAAAGATTAAACTAAAACCAAACCAACTCCCGCTGAGTCAATTCCGACTCACAGTGACTCTCTACGACAGAGGAGAGCTGCCCAACAGGGTTTCCAAGGATGGATGGTAGATTCAAACTGCCGGCCTTTTGGTTAGCAGCCACAGCTCTTAACTACTGCACCACCAGGGATCCCCCATAAAGATTACAGCCTAGAAAACCCTACAGGGCAGTTCTACTCTATCACATGAGGTTGCTATGAGTCACGACTGACTCGATGGTACCCAACAAAAACAGGCCCTGTGAGTACAAAAATGACTACAACAGTCTGTGCTCTCAAGCAGTATAAATCTAGTGGCAGAAAGACATAAAAACATAAACATAATTCCTAGCGATACTACAAGAGTAACGAAGATTTACATAGTGTGTGAAAGGAACAGAGACCTGGTGCCCAAAAGAATTTAGAGGCAGTTAGGAAAGTCTTCCTGAAGAAGGTAAAGTCTAGATTAAATCTTAAAAGAGGAGAATTAAGCTGGAGCACAGGGTATATGGAGACAAAATGCAGGGCAAGGACACCGAAGTTCAAGGTACCTTAGGGACAGTTTTAAGGAATGTAGAGTTTATCACATAATAGAGATGAGAGAGGTTTCTAAACAAGCGAGTGACTTGATACTTGTTTTTTAGGAAGGTAACTCAGGCAATAACATAGATGATATGCTCGAGAAAGAAGGAAATGGAAGGGATAACAAAGAGCCCACACAAAAAAATGAAGTTTTTGTTGTCAGGTGCCATCCAGTTGGTTCCAACTCATAGTAACCCAATATATAACAGAACAAAACACTGCCCCATCCTGAGCCATCCTGATCCTGAGCCACCCTCACAACTGTTGCTATGTTTCAGCCCACTGTTGCAGCCACTGTGTCAATCCATCTTGTGGAGCGTCTTCCTCTTTTTCCACTGAAATAAGGCTCAAATGACACGTTTGTTAAATGAACAAATGAATTAATGAAGGAGAACAGATAAGGGAGATAAATTTACAAACATTAAGCTGAGAAGCCTATAAGATATCTAGGTGGCTACATTCAGAAGGCAGTTGAAAATATAGATCCAAAGTGGGTTTTCTAATTTAGCTGACTAACGGCATGGGTGTTCCATTAACAAAGCTCAGTAATTACAGGTGGAAGAGAAAGACTAAATGAGCTCAATATGATGTACCTGTGGGTCAGCCAAGTGGTAATATACAAGTCTGGGCTGAAGAGAAAGACCTGGGATTCCTCACTGCACAGGCAGCAGCCAAGGCCAATGCACAGAAAGGAAATATCCCAGGGAGAGACCAAACAGTTAACTAGTTGGCTGCTAACTGAACGTTTGGTGGTTCGAACCCACTAAGCAACTTAAAAGGAGGAAGAACTGATAATCTGCTTCCATAAAGAATACAGCCAAGAAAACCCTATGGGGCAGTTCTACTGTCACATGAGGTCACTATGAGTTGGAATCAACTCAACGACACCGAACAACAACAACAGTGAATAATATGGAGTCTCTGGGTGGTGTAAATGGTTTACATACCCTAATTGAAAGGTTGGTGGTTCGAGTCCACCCAGAGGCACATAGGAAGAAAAGGCGTAGAAGGACATTCTACCCTGGGGAAAAAAACAACCAATGAAAAGCCTATGGTGTGTATTTCCTCTCTGACATGCATGGGGTCGCCATTAAGTTAGAATCAACTCAGTGGCAACAGGTTTTCGGGAATAATACATGGTATGGCTCACTTAGGAGCCCTGGTTAGCAGTGGTTAAGCACTCAGCTGCTAAGTGGAAGGTTGGCTGTTTGAACCCACCGGCTGCATCTTTCTCCCGCAGAGCGGCTGGTGGGTTCGAACTGTCAAACTTTTGGTTATTAACCACTGCGCCACTAGGGCTCCTGATAAAGATCACAGGCTTGGAAACCCTATGGAGCAGTTCTACTCTGTCCTATAGGTTAGCTATGAGTCAAACTGACTTGACGGCAGTGGGGGTATGGTCACTTAATCCTCATAACAACCTATGCAGTAGATACTACTATCCCATTTTACATGTGATTAAGTAACTTTCCCAGTAACAGGTGGCAACTAAAGAACAGTAAAAATGAAGCAAGTAAAGCCTAGAAGAGATTAGAGGAGAACTAGGAAAAAGCAATATTGGAAATCAAATTGAGTGGATGTAAAAAGGAGTAATCTGTGGTCAATATCATGAAAATGGAAAAAGACGGGGTAGGACACAGGGTATTTCACAATTTAGGGACATTAATAGCTACCACTTACTTAACTGCTTGTACAGTTTCAGGAAGAAGGACAAAGAAATATCTTGGAGTGGGTTGCAAAATAAGTTGAGGAAGTGAAAGCAGTGATTCTAAGTCTCTGAAAAGGCCCAGGGGCCCAAGAATAAGTGGTGCCCCCCAGTCCTTACAGCCAACAGCACTGGGTACTCATAGTCCAGCTGCAAAACCCACCCATCTACGTGCTCTAGGGAACAGGGACACACTTTCCTCCTGGACACTCGGGGATGGCCTGTCTCCCCTGCTGCAGCCAGATGCCTGTGCCTACACCAATCACCCATGCCTGTCTAGGACTGTAGGTGAGAGCCTGCACCACACACTTGGTGGCCGATTACCTGGACACCTGAGCTGAATCCATACAGGAGGAGTGGGCGGACTCCTGGGCTCACATACTTAGTGACAGGTCTGGCCACCTGCTGGCAGGACAGTGGAGCTTCAGGGGCACTAGTGACTCGGATAGCTCACACAAGGAGCCTATTTGGGTATATCAAAACAAAACAAGAAGCTAGGACACAGTCAGCAAACATGAACTAAATAAATAACTTATTGATGGCTCAGAGACAACAGTCAATATCAAATCACAAAAACAGACAGACCATAACGGCTTCAGCAAACTCCCAAAATAAAGAATCTAGAAATTTTCCAGAGGAAGAAAATTCTTGTAATTACCAGAGGCAGAATACAAAAGATTAATATACAGAACTCTTCTAGATATCAGGAAAGAAATTAAACAAAATGCAAAACACACAATAGAGGAACTTAAAAAGATTAGAGAAGAGCATAATGACAAATTTAACAGGCTGCAAGAATCCATAGAGACAGCAACCAGAAATCCAGAAGATTAACAATAAAATTTCAGAATGAGACAACTCAACAGAAAGTCATAGAAGCAGAATTGAGGCAAGGGAGGTCAGAATTAGTGAGACTGAAGATAAAGCACTTGACACCAACTTATTTGAGGAAAAATCAGATAAAAGGATGTAAAAAAATGAAGAAACCCTAAGAATTATGGGGGACTCTAACAACAAGAATAACCTACGAGTGATTGGAGTACCAGAACAGGGAAGGATAACAATATACGAGAGAATTACTGAAGATTTGTTGGCAGGAAACTTCCCTGATACCATGAAAAATGACAAGATATCTATCCAAGACGGTCATCGAACCCCACATAAGGTAGATCCCAAAAGAAAGTCACCAAGACATATTATAATCAAACTTGCCAAAACCAAAGATAAAGAATGTTAAGAGTGGCTAAGGTTAAATGAAAAGTCATCTACAAAAGAGAGTCAATAAAAATAACCTCAGACTACTCAGCAGAAACCACGCAGGCAAGAAGGCAATGCAATGACATATATAAGGTCTTGAAGAAAAAAAATTGCCAGCCAAAAATTATACATCCAGCTAAACTGTCTCTCAAATATGATGGTGAAATTAGGGCATTCCAGATAAACAGAAGTTTTGCGCATTTGCAAAAACCAAACCAAAATTACAATAAATACTAAAGGGAGTCCTCTGGTTAGAAAATCAGTAAAATCAGACAACAACCCAAGCCCAGAACACAGGACACAGCAACCACATATCAACACAGATAGGGAAGTCACAAAAATAAATCAAAGCTAAAACACTGAAAATAGGGAAACAGATGTCAATATGTAAAAGATGACAACATTAAAACCAAAAAGAGGAACTAAAAAATATAGACATAGATTTTTCATATGGAGAGGAAGTCAAGGGGATATAAAGAAATAAATGACTGGTATAAACTTAAACCAAAAAGGCCCAGCAGTGAAGGAACCAAAACCCAAACCAAACTCTGCTTTTGAGTCAATTCCGACTCATACCAGCCCTATGGGACAGAGTAGAACTACCCCATAGGGTTTCCAAGGCTGTAAATCCTTACAGAAGCAGACTGACACATCTTTATCCCACAGAGTGGTTAGTGAGTTCAAACCACTGACCTTTCAGTTCACAGCTGAGTGCTTTAACCATTGCACAACCACACACCGTTTACTGAGCCAGTAGTATTTACAGTGCCAGGCTCCATGATAGGGGTATCCCACGCCTCATTTAATATTTCCATTTTAAAAGATGTGGAAGATTCAGAAATGCTAAGAGACTTGTTCATACAGCCAGTAAGTAACAGCAGAAATATTTACACCGGAGGCAACATACAGCTATGACCACATAGCTATTTAAAAGTACAATGACACAGTAAGAGATCAAGAAGTTCTTAAGAATCTTACCTGTGCACTGCAGCTTTGTAACATTCAGTGTGATGATATCTAACTTGCCCTAGGAAAGCAAAACAGGAAAAATGGTTTGATAAACAAGTAAACCATGTTAGAAAGAAGTATCAGCTTTAACCTGCCTACTGTGTTATTACTAATAAAGCTTTCAAAAGAACTTGAAAATCTGTAAAACAAATAAGTATTAAGCTCCTATTCTGGGTGAGGAACTGTACTACATCACCCCCAGATTCAGTGGGAAAAAGAGAAACGATTGCACGTGAAATTTACAATCCAAAACATAAAATTTCTAACCTCTTCCCTTCAAAGGTTTGTCTTGGTACAACCCGACAACTTTTTACGTATCAAAGAACTAAAGTCGTTAAGTCAATTAGCAACACTGAGTAACACAGACTTCTCATTTACATCTGTATGGTTAGTATAACCATTTATCCTAAGTTCCAAAACAAAAGGCCTAGTTTCTGACACATCAAGCTTGACTGGCCTTTGTTAAAAACTTTTTCCATTTCTTTCCCAAGGAAAGGGGCACTCCTCCAGAACACTGTCTTGCCCTAGTATTTCCCATTCAAAAGTTTCTTGGTTTGTCCTCCAACTCATTCCTTCTTTCACTGTGCCAGGTGGTGAGCCAGATCCGGAGGCCATCGTTTCTGACTCATAGTACCCTACAGCACAGGGTAGAACTGCCCCAGTAGGTTTCCGAGGAGCGGCTGGTGGATTCAAACTGCAGACCATTTTGGTTAACAGCCTTAGCTCTTAACCACTGAGCCAGCAGGGCTCCACTTACTGGGGATCGAGACATACATAAGACTAGCCTAGCCTTCATGGTGGCGTAGTAGATAGGCACTACGACTGCTAACCAAAAAGTCGGCAGTTTGAATCCACCAGGCGCTCCGAGGAAATCCTATGGAGCAGTTCTACTCTGTCCTATAGAGTTCGCTATGAGTCACAATCAACTCGACAGCGACGGGTTTGGTTGTTTGTTTTTTAAGCCTTCATGAATCTTACCAGTAGTAGAGGAAACAATTAAAACATCTAATTAACTATCACAACTCATTATAATTGATGATTAACTGCTGCTAAGGAGAATACAGAATGCTAGGAAGGCTTAACCGAAATGGGGTGGCTTTATTGAGGAAGTGATACTTGAACTGACATTTGTAGAATGCATGAGTTGGGAGAAGGGTGACTGAGCATTATAGGTGCAGGGAACCCTTGCAAGACAGGGGATAGGAAAGAGAAAAGAGGCTTTCGAGGGACAAAAATAAAGCCAATGTGGCTTGAACCCAGAGAGCCAGGAGGAAATTAGTCCAAACTGAGCTGGAGACAGGAAGAGTGAGATCATTCGGTATTTTGGTCTTTATCTTAAGAGAATGTGAAATCTTTGACGAGTTCTACTAACCCCGTGATGCACTGAGACACGTGTCTATTTTTAAACGACTCCTCTTAAATGCATCAGAGTTCCTTCTAAAATCCATTCTCAGGTCTAAATAACACGAAAACTTCTCTAACCATTCACTGACACCACCCAAAAACAGAATGCTTCAGGGTGGATTCTACGTCAAGGGAAAAGAACGGAAGAAAGTACTCTGAAGAAGAAAAAAAAGTAGTTTAAACAGATGGCAGCTACTTAAATATTCATCTATAGTAACTATAGAGAATGAAGTTTACGGTTGTTTCCTACTTACAAATAACTTCTAACTCTAGGTATCATTTAAATTGTACGGCTGTTAGCATTTAAGGACAACAGCAGAAATCTAACAACTATATCCCAACATTTAAAAAGAAAATCGGAGTCTGATTAAAGGCTATGGTGCCCATACAGATTTCTCTGTCTTGTAATGTCATCCTTCCCTTCACTCACTTTTTTCCTAAATCAGTAAAAAGCAGACTTCCTGAGCGCATTTTTGGTTTCGCTCTTTAAGGAATAAAACTTCTAATTCAAAACTTTCTTTACTGCGGGTCTGAGGGATGCCGACGGGATTTGGGGGACACCAAACAAATGTACAAGGTTTAAAAGGCTGACAGTAACCGGGCGCCTCACAGTAACTTTCTCGCCCTTCCCTTTCCGCCCCCCAACTCCCAGGGGCTCGTGGAGCCTCCCCATCCCCGGCTCCGGGCAGAGGGTTGCGGGACAGCAAGGCCAGGCCCGCGGGCCAGAGTTGCAGCCACCACCTCTTTCCCCGCCTCTCCGACTGCCGCGGGTGTTCCTTGGCGGGTAGTGAAGAGCGGATGCGGAAGCACGGGTATTACCTGGGGCCGGAGCCCGGCTGCGTGGACCTCGGCGAAGAAGGCCGAGCCGGGAAGTCGTCACTGCGCGGACGGCGGGAGGTAGCTCCGGACAGCTCTCCGGGTGCCCAAGGCCAGCCACACCGCCAGCCCAGCCAAGGAAGAAGATAAAGCGCCGGACTCCCCCGCCTCTCCGCCCCCGCTTCCCTGCCCCCTCCGCTGCGTCACGCGCACGGCGACCGCCGGTTCAGAATTCTATTGGTGGTCCCGGCGGCCGCCAGGCTCCGCCCACCGCCCGCAGCCACCCCGCCCCTTTTCCGGGCGCGCGGGCCCCCAGCGCTAGAGCCCCCAGCTGGCTTTGGCGTTTAGTTAGGTAAACTTCACGCAAGCGTGCCATGACACGAGCGACAACAGACAGTGATCGAATCTGCGGCAGAAACGGGACGGAGACAGCCTGGACGGAAAAACTTCCTGCAAGTCCGAAACAGCACCTTGCATAGTAGTAGGGGACTGGAGAGTCTGGCGCTTCTACTCTAGACTCGCAGAAGCCGCTTCAGGAACTGTGCAGCATTGGAGTGTGAACTGATCCTCTGGGAACAAAAGAGAATCACTAGCCAGAAGCGTTGTCGTGGGATCCTTTATGCTTGGTAAGCCATGATTGGCTGTGCCCTTCAGCAACGTGCAAACTAGATGAGGAGACCGCAGTAAGTCACACGAAATAAAAGAGCAATTAAGTAATTAAAAAGGGTCCAAGCCTGCTCCTTGGGACTTCATAATCAAAGAAAAATTAATGATGCAGAGATTTTCTATGTAGATTAGATACAACAGGTAATCGCTTAGATTTTGTGAAGGCAAAGCTGTAGATGAATTTAGGATAAAAGGTGAAAAGGGAACGTTGAGAGGTGCAGAGACTGAAGAGCCACGTTCACAGTCCGCAAACCAGCATCAGCTAAACTGACCTGCTTAATCACTCCATCCCTACTCCAAACAGGTTGGAATGGCCACCCCTGACCAGGTCAGGCTGCCCTAAAGAAATGGATAGGGTTTTCCTGAACTGAGCTTTTAAGAGAGTGGATTTCTACCAGTTCCCCTGGCCACCCACAGCAGGCAGCACTGTCCATCCCAAAGTAAAACAGGTCTCAGCAGTCAGCTGAGTTCAGTACTAGCCATCATTGGCAGGTTTGTCCCATTTTGCCTCTTTTACAACCATTGTGATTGCAGTTTCTGCCAACTGGATGGGGGGGGGGGGCAGGGGGACCCTAGATCCCAACTGCTTTTGTGCTTTTAAAAAATTAAAGAGCAGTGGAACACAGGGATTCCTTTCTGTTGGGACTTTGCCGGCCACCGTATATACACACCAAGAAGACTCTTGCCTTTTCATTATTTTGTTTATTCACTCAAAAAGTATTGTTTGTTCTAGGTGCTAGGGATATATAAGTGAATAAAATAGAAAGGACCGCTGCCCTTAGAAGCTTGTGCTTCTCAGTGGACAAAATAAATGATAAAAAAAGTAAATAAGATAATTTCAGTTAGTGATAATGTTAAAGAAACAAAACAGAGTGTTCAGGGAAGGTCTTTCTGTGGGGGCAATCTGAGCCAGCCATGCCAAGCATGGGGAAGAAGAGCATTCTAGACTGAGGACAACAGGTGGAAAGACCCTGAGGCTGAACACGTTTGGCTTGTTTGAGGCCAGGAGGCTTGAGCTTGGTGAGTAAAGGGTATGAGGCTGAGACTGGAGAGTTAAGCAGGAGCCAAATCATGTTGTTTGGATTTTTTTGTTGTTGTCAACTGCAAATGAAAATTAGTAAAGCTTTTAAAAATAAATAAACCTATTTCATAGAAATCACTTGGAGGGAAGCAGGAATGGAACCAGGGAGAAGCCAGAAAACAATAGGACACTGTTGGACAAGTCCATGGAAGAGATGATGGTGACCTATATTAAGGTGCTTCCCATGGAAATAGAAGTAGGATTTCAAAATATTTCCTTGAGGTGCAGGTGTGAAGAAAGGTAGTACACACAGTGACTCACAGATTATTTCCTTACACAGATGGGAGGATGGCAGTGCCAGTTAGGGCAAGGGGGAATACCATATAATATGACTGGAGTGACGTTGAAAGCCTGTGCCCAAACTTTAAGCTTTTCCCACCACCAACTGGAAAGTCTCACACTGGTCAATCAATGGGATCAAGACTCAGTTAAATGCTTACATTGGCATCATTTTATTTAAAAAAAAAAAAAAAAGTATAGAGAATCCGTACTAGGTGCTGGGGATATGAAGGACGTAGACAGCGATTGGTCTGTCACTAATAACTCCCTGGAAGGCTGGAATCCTGTTGTTTATGTATTCCCAAAGCACCTAGCATAATACCTAAAAGTCACCTGATAAATGTATTGAATAAATGAAGGGCCTGAGTCCCTACTAGAGTGTGGGTGAATCCCAAAGACAGTCAGGGTCAGACATTATTTCATTCCTTCTATGTCATCACTTGTTTTTCTATAAACAAAAGTCTTAATGTACAAGGGAGGCAGCAACCTATTCCACTTAAGTGGACTTGGCTCCATGGAGTCTCTTTAGCCCTAGTGATATACAGCAAAGTACATTCTAGGCACCACAATAGACATAAGAATATTTTAAGGGATGTACACACATAAGGAAATCCCTTCAAGAGTTCCTGAATACCACCGGTGAATGGGCACTACTACCTGACTGCCCCATGTAAGGGTAGAAGAGCTGACACACATCTCTGCTGATGACCTAGTTCATCCTTCCTAACGTTAGTACTAGAGGTTATTTCCCGTGATACTAAGTGTTTCCCCCAAAGGGTACTACCCCCATTAAAAACCCAGTTGCCATCGAGTTGATTCCAACTCATAGCAACCTGGTAGGACAGAGTAGAACTGCCCCATAGGGTTTCCAAGGAGTGGCTGGTGGATTCAAACTGCAGACCTTTTTGGTTAGCAGCCATAGCTCTTAACCACTGCACCACCAGGGCTCCCAAAAGGTACTAGCTTCCTTTATTAGCCTAATGTGGATATTTTTATACCACAAGGAAAATTTCTGATTAGGTAATAATACAAGCCTGTTGAAAATAATTGCAACAATATATAAAAGTATAAAGGAAGAAAGTAAAAAGCTCCTAAATTTCCACCATTAACCACCATTAACATTTTGGTGCCCATCTTTCGATACAATTCTTTACACATATAGCCACATACAAACGTTTAATTTTTTTTTACTGTGGATTTTACATATATGAATTGATATTTTATTAACCAAACAATTATTTATTTATTGGTGGCCTATAGCTCTTCTTGAGGTAATGAATTTAATTTATTCTCTGGTAAGCAAAATAGAGCTTGGCTTTATTTGGCCCAAACGTATACCTCTTTCTTAGTTCCAAGGGTATCCCTTAGTCGATTTTTTTATATTTAGTAAACTTTTCTTATGACTTTATACACTTTAATCACATTCCTTCTCAGTCTTCAGTCTTTCAATATTTAAAATTCCCAGTCTCTCTACACTATCATATTACAGATTCTTTTTTGGCCTGCATGACCAGTAAATACCTTTTTTGACCCTCTCCATACCTTTAAGCAATTATGTCTTTCTTAAGATTCAGATGGTTTGATTCAATAGTAGGATATGTTTGTTTGTTTGTTTGCATTTTCTACTTTTCCTATATTATTTACCTTGGAGTCCTTTGAGGCCACAGGAAACCATCCAACCAGTTGACAGTGACTCCAAGTCACCTTTCTACCAAACCAAAACCCACTGCTGTCAAGTTGATTCTGACTTATAGCAACCCTGTAGGACAGAGTAGAACTGCCCTATAGGGTTTCCAAGGCTATAAATCTTTATGGAAGAAGACTGCCACATCTTTCTCCTGCAGAGCAGCTGGTGAGTTTGAACTGCCGACCTTTCACTTAGCTACCAAATGCTTAACCACTGTGCCACCAAGGCTCCTCTGTCACCTTTCTACATCTCAGAGCCCAACTATACCATGAGTATAATTTTCACCAAAGTCTAGCTCACTTTACACTTCTCTACATTGAGATTCATTCTTTACCCATTGACCCAGCCTCTTGAGATTTTTCTTTTCTTTTTTTTATTCCCATCAGATTGATATTTCTCTGCAAAGAAAGCTTAAATTTATGGGTAAACTTGTTTCTCTATGTATTTCTACTTCTAAATTATATGTGAAAATGTTACATGAAACCCAGACCCAGGGAAACTTACCCTGTTTTCTATTTCTAATGTATTTTCTTACCTAGGGAAAAACAATATTAATGGTAGGCAGTGACTATTTTGTAACACTTGCCCAAGCAGGGCAGAGGTCAGCCCAGCCCAAAAGGCCCGAGGGCCAGGCAGAGGCCTGCCTGTGGGCACAGCCAAGCTGTCCTGACCTAAGAATTGTATCCTGAGTCATTCCTGATCCTGAATTGTAACCTGTTACTTCCCTAGTAAACTCCATAATCATGAGTATTGTGTGTGAGTTCTGTGTGACCATTGCAATGAATTATCAAACCCAGCAGAGAAGCAGAGAGTGCCGCGGGGTGGGAGGGACGACTGGTGTCAGAATTGGTAAAAAGGTTGAAGAAAGGCGGTATGTCTAACCTCTGCTTCATAGGAATAATCTTTGGGCTGATGCTAATGGTGATTTTCTCTCCCCCTTGTGAAGTTAGAGGAGGTCAAACACTCCTACCACGCCATTTTTACAGTTGGTGTCAGGAGCGGAATTTGTTGCAGTGGCTCCAGATTCATGGAAGCATGGGACTTTGTAAGAGAAAGAACAAACGGCTGTGGGAAGTGAAACTTTTGATTCTTAGATGGTTACTTTGGTTATTGTTACCTGTAATAGCTGAAAGGAAAGTAAGAGATGTTATGCTATAGCTGAGGGGAAAAAAAGCCACATCTGGAATGGCTTTGGGCAAAAGCCAGGCCAGTTAAACAAGATGATAGGTAGAGTCTTCTGGCTCCACCCAGCCAGAGGCCCAAGGCTACTTGCATATGAATGGGAATAGCCAAGGTGTGGAAAAGAAAAGGTGAAACTGGAATGTGAAGATAAGGATTACATGTTTATTTGAATGCACTGTGGATATTGAATATTTCTCCTATCTAGTGTTGTAAAACAGACCTACATAGATGATAGAAACGAGT